CCTACGCGTTCATATAAAGAACGCCGAAAACGGAATTCGTATACAAAAGTTATGGCCTTCCGAAGATGCAGCTGTCAGAAACCCTAATTTGACTGAACTCACGACGTGAGCATCAAAAATTCACGACGTGAGGAGTCAACAGACACTAATCGGAGCTAGAAAACACGCGTTAAGGCTATGGGGTGACTCATGGAAGTTCACGACGTGAACCTATCATGTTCACGACGTGAATGGCCCCAGAACACCCTATAAATAGCGATCAAAGCTCATTCAATCCTTACACCTTCTCCTTTCATTCTCTCTCGTTTCCGAAGGCCGTTTTCCCTTCTCGAGCCTGACAACGACGAGCCTCTGACCGTTTAGATTCTATAATCACGCTACTAAGGTGAGTTTTACGGCCCCACTTTCTATTATTTTGGGGGGAAAACGCATGCTAAATATTATATATACGTTATTATTATGTCTATATGATAGTATATTAGTATCAACGTAGATAGTTATAATAACCGGGATATAGTTATTTCGTATATGAAATTATACAACTATCGTAAAGTTGTTAGTATGTTATTGTTATAGTATTGTACTAATGTAGATCTTGAGTTATACTTAGGATTCTATATATATTATGTGTGCGATATAGTTCCAGAGTTATACTCGGAAGTTCTATATGTTAATTGATAAATATGTTGTTATTGTTGGTTTTATGTCAAGATAAAACCATGTATGTTATATGTTGTTGTTATTGGTTTTATGTCAAGATAAAACCATGTATGTTATATGTTGTTGTTATTGGTTTTATGTCAAGATAAAATTGGATATGTTATATGTTGTTATTGTTAGTTTTATGTTAAGATAAAACTTAGTATTGCTATTGATAGTTTTATGTCAAGATAAAACTAGGAACGTTATATGTTGTTATTATTGGTTTTAGGTCAATATAAAACCTGGTTTTACTCCAAGATATAGCTGTTATACTGCCTAAATGTTATGAAGTTAGGAGTAATGTTTAAAAGCATAGTCTAGTGACTTAGGGTTTTAGACATGAAAATGCTTTTGTTGTTAGAGCTATAGGAATTCGTCAAAGTCTACATGAGCTACCTCATTCATCAACTAAGATTGGGGATCTTAGTGGAAGTCCTCTGACTTGTAACCGTTAATCCCGTGTGAGCGAGGAAGTCGTGTATGAATAAGATACGGGTTGACGACCCCACTCGTGGTTGTTAATTACAACCCAAGACAAGCGAGTGACGATTCGTTCCTTTTATTTTTATTCTGGCGTCGATGAAGCGCGCGGTGTTGTTCCTCATGGTAAATCATGAGTGTATTGTTTCTCATGGTAAATCATGAGTGTATTGTTTTGTCAGAGGTTTTGTTGTCAAGCAGCGGTTACGAACTCATGGTAGCAAATTGTTAGAAGCATTATACTTTGTCGTTATACAAGTATTAATGTTAAGTATAAGTTTCCCCCTACTTATACCCTAGGTACTACTTGTATATTAAGTAGATAATTATACCTAACACACATACTCGTATAGAATTGAAATAGATTTATACGTAGCGGTTTTACTCGTATAGAATTGAAATAAGATTTATACGTAGCAACTTTCGTTTGTATGGAATTACAAACACTTATATTCATAGTATATGAGACTTATAGGTAAACTACTTATTTGGTAAGTAAACTTTTATACCTAGGATATATATACTAAACGTTGGAGAGTCAAAATGATACTTTCAAAACTATACTTTTGAACATGGAAAATGTATTCTTTTATGGAGTCAAAACCTGTGAACTCACCAACTTTATGTTGACGTATTTTTAAATTGCATGTGTTTTCAGGAAGTTGATAACTATGATACGAGAAATGACGTTACACTGCCCGGTGTTTCCGCCGACGGCCGGGGTGTGACAAAATCACTTTGTAATATCATTGGCAAAGTCTTGGTGGCTTTGGTGCTGTGACATTACGGAAGGATCGTTGCATAAAATGTTAGAATCTAACATATTCTAATAGTGACAAGAATTTGGTATTCTTACACTTGTAATAAGGATTGAGAATTGTGAAATGAGCATCATTGGAAATGTGTTCATTTGATCTATTTCACAAAGTAAGGACCATAGGTAAACATAGTGTGCATGCTTGGAGCATGGGACAACTATTGTTTTTCAATTCAAGTATTAAGTTGATTATCCGAAACATTATACAATGAAAAATGAGTAATCAATATGGCGATTAAATAAAGGTGTTTTATTTATACTCAAAAGTTTGGGGCCATATAGGATTAGTATTATTCTTGTGTTTCACTTTGCATGTTTTGACTTCCCGAACAATAAGATTATTCAAACCATCCACAGTCGATCATATTTTGGAAGTAGGTAATGAGGTAAGACTGTCATGCATCCGACAGTAGATTGTCTAAAGCGTTTTAGACATAGCAAAAGTCTGCTACAGTGTTCATGAGTACTCCTGAAATAAGATTTGAGTATTGGATTAAACCCATGCTCACTTGAATCACTTCATGGATTTTATCACGAGTGATTAGTGAGACGATAATATCTTATATTCTTGAAACGGAGACGTGTGAGTTGTAGTTTGCAATTCGGTTGCACATTGACATATGTAAACGTACCAGTAACTTGGTGTTATAAAACATATTGTTGTGTGTGATTTGATGAGTAAGTACAAGCGAGCATTTGAGTCGAAGTTTATCCATTCCTTTTACCCAAAGTGGGATAAAAGCGATATCTATGGGCCCCTCGATGATTTAGTGATGACACCTAAGCGCTTGGCCAAGCCTGGACTAAGTTGATGTGTTCAATTGTAGTCTATTATCAGTCATCATAAATCGGAAATCGAGAAGCAACACATAGACTGAGAGAATGATTATAATCCATGTCTCATGTATATACGATATCTGGAATGGAGGAATATATGATCCCTTATGTAAAGGACGCGTTACTGATAAGATCAGAGTTGACAGCGGCTTTTGAAAGCTACGATTGCTGATCAGGTTCTGAAGTCGTACTTGCAAAATAGTTATTAGACTTATCCAAGTGGGAGACTGTTCGATTAGGTGTCTAAGCCCATAACTATTTTGGTATGTACTTGACCCGATTATGAGCATGGTCTTTTTGGGTTGCCTTCACCATAGCAACTGATAGGATAAATTAAGGAGAAAGAGGATTAATTATGATTTATTAATATATTATATGAACAATATATTAAAAGAGAAATCATATTGTTTGATTAATATTGATCAAGAATTAATTTAGAATTAATTTTGTGGTCAAAAGAAATTAATTAAACTTAGGGGACTGAAATTGCAATTATAAGATAATTGGTTTTTGGGCTGTAGATCCCTTAGGAATAAGGTGGACGAATTCAAGGTGGAAGCCCACTTAGAAATCGTACGGGCCTTGATTCTGGAAGGATCTAAAGGGCTGCTTGGTGGCTAAGCAATCCAATTAGGGTTTTGAATGAAACCCTAGCAACTCACCTATAAAGGGAACCCTAAGGCTCCCAAAATTCGGCCCCATGCTTCTCATAAGTGCCTTGGACGAATTTTGTGCCTCCTCCTCCCTCTCCTAAGTCATCCTGTTGCTTGTGGTGTTTGTGACTCCATTAGAGGTGCAACACTTGGGGCACTAGGCTTTCAGAAGTCAAGATCAAGGAGGTTTGAGATTGTTACTGCTACATAACAATCAAGGTAAAATTTCTAACCTAATTATAATTATATGTGATTTTCATATTTGTATGCTAGTCAATTAGGGTTTACTGCTTTGGTATTCAATGTTGTATGTTTACTTAGAAAAACCTAGATCAAAGCAATTAGGATTGATGTTATGCTAATAACTCAACACATTTAACTTTTTTTTAACCTTTTAGACCATTAAACCCGAAATTTACCTGTCCAAAACATCATTTTTATCAAAGTTAGTAGGTTTCCCGGTTACATATTACTGTTGACACTGTTGAATGCTGATGTGTAATAAAATACCAGCAAAAAGTAACCCACTCCTTTTTCTTTGACCCAGTTGAATCCTCCTCTTGCATCTCTCTCTCTCTCTCTCTCTCTCTCTCTCTCTCTCTCTCTCTGCCTTTGTGTACTTCCCAATAGAAACAATAACAAAAACAACCACACTCTTTCCTCAATCGATGAACAGGTGTGAATTTCCCTTTTCTCTCTTATCGATCAAAGGTCTATAAAATTGCCCCATCTTCTTCCTTTTCTTTCTATAGTAGCAAGTTGCAAATGAGATGATGATAGAGATGAGGTTGTTGTGGTTCTGATCTGTGGTAATAGCATCTGAATTGGTGAGTGTCGGTTAACAATGGTTCAATGGATGTTGGATGATCGAAGATGTAGTAGACAGGGTCGTGCTATTCTAGCCTATCAACATGATTTTTTCCATCGGCTCCTATTACGTAATTTTTTTTCCGATACCAATCACTGTTCCGACATTGTATTGTCGTCGTCTTCCCTACAGTACATCCGCTACTACAGTTTGTCGCTTCTTCTTCTCTGCAGCAACGTGTTTTTTGTTTTCACAATTTACACTGCATCGATTCTAGGACATTCACTGCTCCGCTGCCTTGCTCATCTGCATCTACGGGTATTTTTCACAATTCAATAGTTCCTAAAAAGAGATGAGATCTAGATCGAGAGCAGAGATGAGATTGAGACTACGGAGGCAGACTTTGAAGACTACACACGCAGACTTCGAACACCAAGATAACCCAAAAAATTCCTAAGATTTGGTACATATTTGGATATTCACATTCTTCATACAATCGGATGCACCTGCTGGGAAATAGATGGTGCTTTGGACCTTCAATTCCTTTTCAATATTTAGTCTTGTAATCTGTGGTGGAAGATAAAAATGGGTGGAAGAAGGATGGTGGCGGTGGTGGAAGATGGATGGTGCTGAAAAAGGATGGTGGTTGTTGTGTAAGAGTTAATGGTGGCGGTGATGCGGAAGGAACATGTTCTAAGAGTTGATGGTAATCCACCATCTTATAAGCTCTCCATTCGATTACTATCAAGGTAATGCTCATTATCTTCGATTAATTCTTCACCATTCAAAACAACTAGATGTGGATTCAACAAGATCTGTTATTCAATATTTTTACAACCATGGTGGGTTTCAATAAGCCTTTGCTCAGTACGTGAAGCTGCAAAGATCGGGACCCTTACCTTCCACATTTACAGTAGCATCTGCTTTGGGGCATGTGCAAGGCTTGGTAATGGAAATTGCAGGATCATAGGCAATATCTTTGACTTTCTTAATGTCAAAGTCAATGTGGATGTGTTCATTATCTACATATCAACAATGTAACCGGGAAAACCTGATAATTTTTAGCAAAATGGTATTTTTAAAAGGTAATTTTTGAGTTTAATGGTCTAACAGGTCTAGAAAAAAGTTAAATGGTCATTTAAAACCAAAGGCAAAAGTTTGATGTGCCTTTATGTTAATAACCCAAGGTAAAATATTACGCAAAAGACTATCCGTGTCAACTGTAATTTAGTCTAAATTGTAATTCATGGTAATCGACGGCTATTATTAATCGATACTAAGAACCCCCATGATAAGATCCATGGACGCGTGACACGCTAACTATATTCTCAGTTATCCCGCGGCTTCTCGATCCTTCCTCTGCACTTGTAAATACCCTTCTTATTTTCGCCGCAGCCACGTTCAGCTGTGTGTCTCAATTGACATTGTATCGTTCAATCTCTTTCTCATCCTCTTGGCACGCTCACGGATTGGGTATATATTTTTTTTTGGTAATTGATCTTAAACGATCAATTTCGATTAAATTCATGGATTTTAATTTTTTTTTCTTGAAAACAATATTTTACAGGGTCTGATAACAGAGTGTTGTTAGATCTTGTGGTTCGGCTGTTCGTAAATCGAGAATTATGTCTCATATCCTCCCTGATATCTTTATCTTCTCCAATTTGAGATCGCTTTTTTTGGGATATCATCGATTGTTTCTTCCGATTGACGAAAGTTTGCTTTGATTTTGTGATAATTATAAGCAAACAAATAACGATCTATAGGGTCGTGATAAAATTTATCGAAATCATCGATTATAACGATTTAATTGCTTTATTGCTTTATTTATTATTATTTTAATGATTCAAACGCATATGAAGTCAGAATCTTTAAGGTAATATTATGTCTTGTTAAATCTTAACTCGAAGATTACGCGGAAACCAGAGAGATCGTGATAGGGAAAGGGCTCAAGCAAGGGCTGGGGGTAAACCTAAAAATCCCAAAACAGATGGATTAACTCCTGAACAAAGACGAGAAAGGTTTCAGTCGATTGCTTCTTTTTTTTTTTTTTTTCTGATGTCTATTTTTTCCAAATGTATATGAAGCTTTCTTCTTGGAACAATGATTTCTCGAATAATGTTGAAATGGTTGATTTGGGGGGTTTCTTGGAGCAGGGATGCAAAGGCACTACAAGAAAAACTGGCAAAAAAAGCTTGTAAAGATTCATCAGGAGCTATTAATGGGTCAAATGGCATTAAAACCAAGAAATAGATGTTGATTATGTGTGTAAATGGTACATATATTGTGGGATGAGAGATAGACGACATTAATGGGTTTATTTAGATTGTTGTTTTATGACATTTACTGTGCGGAATGTGTAACGTGTTAAGTATTGGTGATCCTTTCATCTTGTCTGCAATTACATATACTTGGATCTAGATTTATATTCTTGACATTTAGGTTAAGTTTCTATTTTTCGATTAAGTCGATGGAACATGGGGCATCTCCGATATTTTTTCTCCATTTTTTTCCTTATTCTTTTACAACCAGATCCCATTTTCAGTTTTTGGAGATATTTCTGGGGGAATATTATCATACTTCTAAAAATATAGTTGAAATTATGGTTGATAATTTTAGTCCTTTTTTTATTTTATACATTTTTAGTTTGGATTTTCTAATATGTGCCATTACGTCCATATAAAAAACATTAATTGAAATTTTAATTATAAAAAATATTATCATGATAAATATTAATTATATGTAATATTATCATAATTAAATGTAAAATACATTAATTATAAATAATATTATTTATAATTAATATTTATTATATTTAATTATAGTAATATTTTTTATAATTAACATTTTAATTAATGTTTTTTATATTCGTTTCTAGGGCCCGTATTAAATTTTTTTTAGTTTATTATTATCTATTAATTATAATTTAAATGTAATATTTAATACTTGTAATATTATGTTAGGGCACGTATATATTTATTAAAAGCTAATTAGTAGAGGGTGTATTTGATAATATATATATATATATATATATATATATATATATATATATATATATATATATAAAAGTTACATAAATGGAATATTCTATAAATATATTTTTTAGGGTAAAAAATAAGATAGAAAATGAAATAGGGTTGGAGATACAATACTATTTACCTAATTTTTTATTCAATTTATGGGGGGAATGAAGATGGGTTGGAGATAGTCTAATCTAGATGGCAAAATAGAATGTAAGAATCGATATTTTCCAAAAGAATATTATAACTTTTGGTACATTTAATAATGGTTAGAGGGGCGGTAGACAAGGTGACCATTTAGGCCCTTTTCTTTTTATCTTTAGTCTTGGAAGGTCTTAGTATTATCAACATCTCTTTTAGGATATTACTCTTCCTTATAATGATACTATCTTATCTCATCTTATCTATGGATGTTACTTTTATTGGAGAATGGTTCGAGATGAACCTAATTAATCTTAATAGGCTCTGAAGGTGCTTCTTTATGGCGACGGGGCTTAAAGTTAATCTTGCTAGTATTGTGTGGGGCTGGGAAATTTCCGTTTAATTACCTTGGTCTTCCGATTGGTGCTAACATGAAATTAGCCAAGCATTAGAGATCTATTGTGGATAAATTCAACATGAAATTATCTTCTTGGAAGGCTTAATAATATTTCTTTTGGGCGTCTTACATTGTTAAATCGGTCTTAAACAACCTTCCTTTTTTTTTAAGGCTTCTTTGAAAGTCATTGATTGCTTGAAGAAAATTAGGAGGAAGTTTTTAAGCTATTGGGTGTAAGAGCATTTTATCACACCCAAAATGTTCACATCATCATCTTAGTCACACTTTTGGTGTTATAACATCCAATATGGAAATGGACAACATCAAATAACATGTGATAACACCTACATTTTTTATTTTATTTTATTTTTTGACGTTTTTAATTTCTATTTTCCTAATTTGTTTTATTTTTTTTAATTTATGTCATAATATTTTTAAAAAAACATAATTAAATTAAATACTTAATTAAACATACCATTTTAAAAATAAAAACAACATCACAAAGGAAGAAAAAAACATTGACCAAAAACATACGATAGTTTTAATAATTTTAAAAACATAAAACTGATACAATATTATTCGCCTAAATATCTCTGCTCGATCTTAGCCTTCATTTTTCGGAGAACTTCCGTTCGTCTCGGTGGCATATTATCCTCGCTAGTTTGAAGAATTGTCAAATCCTTCGTCATGCGATATTCCTCGGCTTCTCGACGAAGGAACTCCAAATTCTCACGTTGCAACTCATATCTTTTAAGTGCGATTTCATTGTGGGCGTCAAATTTCTGTTTCATTTCCGCTTGCTCTCAAAGTCTACTTTTGCTTTCCTCCGCATGTCGTTGAGCCCGCCTCACTTTGTCGCGCCCTATTGGTCGTCGAGGCGGGGAGATCTCTTTGATGTTGTTGAGTTCGTCCGGTAGCTCATCCGTGTCCGCATTGAGGTCGATGTTCGTGAGTGCGTCCGAAAAACATTGACCAAACCTGAGCCGCGAGACCTCTTGGATCGTTGTTCCGAAAATGTGTCCGTTTTATTTCATTTTGGGTATTCCTTAACTAGCGGTGCAAACGAGTCGAGCCTGAAGGCTCGATTTGAGCTTTCTTGTACTGAGCTCGACTCGAGCTCATAAAGAATTATACAAGCTCGACTCGAGCTCGGTTTGTTTTTTGTTTGACGTGCCAAAATATGCTTAAGCTCGGCTCGAGCTCATTAAGGAGCTCGTTTACTAATACCTTAAATCCCTAATTCCCCAAATATGTTTTTATTTTAATATATAAAAATAATAATAAATTATATTATACAAAGGCTCGTTTAGGCTCGCGGGCCTAATCGAGCTTAGTGACATAGGCTTGAGCTCGAGCTCATTTAATAAACGAGCTTAAGATTAAGCTTGAGCTCGGCTCGGGCTCGTTTAAAATCGGTTTTGAGTCGAGCTTTTAACGAGACGATCCCGAGTATCTCACAAGTAGCTTGGCTCGTTTACTCCCCTATCCTTAACAATCTCCCAAATCTTTTCGTGAACATGAACCTAGGGTTAACTAGAAAATAAGTAAGTCAATGTGTGAGCATATGTGATGACCAACCACATATGAGTTAATTGAATGACCAATTTAGTTGACTAATATTACAAGTCTTACTTGATTTGAACTGAACATTAGGAAACTTGTTAGTTTAATCACTTGATCACTGTTTGAATTAACTTGTTTGCTAAAGGATTAGTAATAGTGAACATGAACCTAATTACATTATAAATCGGTAATCATTGATATATTAATCCATTGCACTTGCCACGAAATCAACCATAGGAATAAGTGAATAAAAATCTAAATGGAAGTCTCTTTTATCTTATTGAATCTAATTGTTTTTCATTCTCCGTTAGTTGTTAATTGTCTTTTGTTTAAGATTTTATTAATTGCTTAAGTTTCTAGTCTTGCAATACTAGAGAAAACCCCCTTTTTATTACTTGTTTTATTTAGGTAATACTAGTATTTATTTTAATTGTTACCGTTCCCTGTGTTCGATACCCTACTTGCTTGAACTATATTGTTAATCGATAGGTACACTGCCTTTCGTGTGTTTGTCTTTGTGTCTAAGTTAGTAGGATTAAAACTAGTACATTATAAATGTATCAAGTTTTTGGGGCATCAAAGTCTTCTTCTGAAGAGAATGTGAATTGCTTTGAATTGTTTTCATGCCAAAGTGCTAGCTCTTTTTCTAACAATTCATCATCCAAATCCATTGAGGAAATCTTGTATTCACTTGACCTTGATTGCTTCATCTCTTGATCGACCCCAAAGGTTACTGAATCATCTCCCACTCGAAGAGTGAGCTTTGATTCTCACACATCCACTATAGCACACACAGTGTTTAAAAATGGCCTTCCAAGAATAAGTGGAACTTTATGATCTTCTTCCATATCTAAGACTATGAAATCAGCAGGAAATACCAACTTATCCACCTTGACTAGAAGATCCTCGCAAATACCCATTGGATAGGTTATTGTATTGTTAGCTAGATGGATTTCCATATGGATGGGATTTGGTTCTGGAAGGTTCAACTTCTTGAAGAATGAGTATGGCATGAGGTTTACACTAGCCCCCGAATCATCCAATGCATAAGTAGCAATCGAATTTCCAAATTGACAAGGTAAAGTTATGCTACCTGGATCTCCCATCTTTTCTGGTAGTTCATTCATCATAGCGGCTGAACAAATTTCATTCAACACTATATATGAGACATCCTCCATATTCTTCCTATTTGTAAGGAGTTCTTTAAGGAATCTTGCACATTTGGGCATTTGTTTTATTGCTTCAAGGAACGAAATGTCAACTTGGAGGGCCTTTACGTGCTCTAAAAACTTCTTGTACTCTTCATTTTTGCCTATCGCGTATGGCTCGACCTGGGAATGGCAAGGGAGGTTGGTACATGTCACAACTATCCCCCGAATCATCCAATGCATAAGTAGCAGTCGAATTTCCAAATTGACAAGGCAAAGTTATGCTACCTGGATCTCCCATCTTTTCTGGTAGTTCATTCATCATAGCGGCTGAACAAATTTCATTCAACACTATATATGAGACATCCTCCATATTCTTCCTATTTGTAAGGAGTTCTTTACGGGATCTTGCACATTTGGGAATTTATGTTATTGCTTCAAGGAACGAAATGTTAACTTGGAGGGCCTTTACGTGCTGTAAAAGCTTCTTGTACTCTTCATTTTTGCGTATCGCGTATGGCTCGACCTAGGAATGGCAAGGGAGGTTGGTACGTATCACAACTTAAAATTTTAGACCTAGCAAAGCCTAAACCCTAACCTAGAACAAGTGAAACCACATTGCAATCCTTGTTGCATTGCATTATCTAAAGCCTTAGGGCTTGTTCATTTAACTTATATACAAACTTATGTGGAAAACCATATTGAAGTAGGGTAGTATAAACTTCATACTTAACATAGAATTATACTAAAGCAAATCAAATTTACACTAGTGCAAATTAAGGGGCTATACTTGAATTAATTAAAGGAATTAAAAGGGTATATAAGTGTTTTCGGTTTTGGGAATCAAATCCCAAAACGTAAACACCTTAATGGGTGAAAACCCAAACCGTGAACACCCTAAAGAGTGTAAACCAAGGCCGTGAACCCTTTTTCCTTTGACCAAAATCCGAAAACCCTTTATCCTTTTGACTTAAATCCGTAAACACCCCCTTCTAGAAGCTCTAAACCGTGAACAACCCCTATATATAAGTGTTTTGGCGAAAACACTTTCATTTCACACATTTTCCATCCGTAAACACCCCCCAAAATCCTCTCAACTACCATCCGTGAACACCCCCTTTTCTCTCAATCTTCAAGAGATTACGCTCAGATTCCTTCAAATCTTCATATTCCCATCAAGAACATTCAAACCCACCTTCAAATCTTCATATGA